ATCCCTTACCAGGGAAAAACAAAAGTTGATAGAGAAATCTTACCCGCAAATTCAGACGACAATGTATTCGCAATGCTGCGGCAGATTGCTGGGGCTTATTTTCACTTTTCTTATCAGAGGTATCGATCATATCCTCCTCGTTTTTTTATTTATATAAACAATAAAAAAAAAGGAAAACTAAATATGACTTTACATTTTTTTGTTATTTTGTTTTGATATTATTTACAGTTTTGACATTTTTTCCTTCCCACATACTTTTCACAAAGAGTAGAAGAAAGGCGATTGAAATTCTAAACTCGATTCTTTTTCTCTGATTCTTGCCTTCGCCATCGCCATCTTCTACCTGCATCAAGGTTTGATCACTGATTTCTACTTCCTTTTTTCATTATTCTTCTTAGATTGGCTCAATTTGAGATCTTTGTATCCAAACCTGATCTGGGTTTCTCTCTGTTCGTTTACTGATGAATCGAATCTAGTTCATTTACTTGTAGAATTCCGTCTTGGGTTTGTTGTAAAATTGAAAAGGGTCAATTCGAGGAGGTGTCTTGGTGGAATCGATCGAAAAAGAATGATTATGCTAATCGTTTTTTTTTTATCCTCTTGGTTTAGGTTTAGGTTTAGGTTTGGATAATAAAGATGGGAGCTTTCGTATCGAGGTTTTGGTTCATGATGTTTCCTGCAAAAGAGTATAAGATTGTTGTTGTTGGTTTGGATAATGCTGGTAAAACGACTACGCTTTACAAACTTCACTTGGGAGAAGTCGTCACTACTCATCCTACTGTAGGTAGCAATGTAGAAGAGCTCGTCTACAAGAATATCCGCTTCGAGGTACCACACTTTCTTCATTTTTAGAATCCCTGTTTCTTAGAGGTTATGGAGATACAAGTTTGAATCGTAATTCGACGTTTCATGAGTATCAGATCCCTGTTTCGAGGTTTGATCCTGGGACATGGGAATAGAAGTTTGAATCTTTATGGAGGTTTTGTAAATCTGCCATCTTTTGTTGCGTTAATGTCTTTGTTTAAGTTTTGTTACTTGATTGTGTTCATCTTTTTCGTTGCAAAAGGGATATTTTTTCCTAAGCTCTTGTCATGATTTGGTCAAGAAGGCGTCACAGGTTCCTAGCCTCTTAGTGTTGAACGTTTCGTATTGCAAAAATCTGTAGATGATGTTTATCGGGCTTCTTTGTTATACCGGAGGATTGATTGGTACTTCGTTCTTTATACACTGGTCAAGTCATGGTTATAGATGAAACCATCTCTGTTTTATGGCATTTTGCATGTGTTTTTATATGTTAAAACCAAATGATGCAGATAATCAGACTTCTTCATTGCATACTGCTTTGTTTAACCATCGCATTTACAATTTGAATTGGTTCTTGTCTAAAGCAACTGTTTAAAGCAGGCATATATTCAACTTGGTCTCTAAGCTTGGAAATTGAAGATTTGACGAGGTTTTACTTTTTGTTGTCTTTAGGTTTGGGATCTTGGTGGGCAAGATAGGCTAAGAACTTCATGGGCTACATATTATCGTGGAACACATGCTGTGATTGTGGTTATCGATAGCACAGACAGAGCGAGAATCTCTTTCATGAAGGACGAGCTCTCCAGGTTACTTGGTCACGAGGATCTTCAAAACTCGGTCATACTTGTGTTTGCAAACAAACAAGACCTGAAAGACGCGATGACTCCAGCTGAAATCACGGATGCACTTAACCTTCACAGCATCAAGAACCATGATTGGCATATTCAAGCAAGCTGTGCGGTTACTGGAGAAGGATTGTATGATGGGCTCGGTTGGATCGCCCAGAAAGTTACTGGTAAAGCCACAAGCTGAAGGAAATCAGAACTGAATCAGAGAGTATTCTTCTTTTTTCCTTTTGTCTGCTTCAGCTGTTCTTTAACAGTGTATCATGTTCTTTATGTAACAACAAGCTTACTATTTTGGTTGCTATTGCTCTCATTGAACTTATGTCCAGAATTTCAAATCTGAAAGAAAAGAATCTTGCTTTGTTTCAGATTGTGTCACTGTGATTCTTTGTAAATAAAGAGGCACAACGATATCAATAGACTTTTATCTGCACAAATGAATCATTTTTTTTGTTGTCAATTACATCAATTTCAATGTGGCGCGTAACGTAGAAACCACAAACTCTTGTGGGAGAAGTAGAGAACAAAAATTAAGAGGAAATGAAGACCAAAGAATGGCGCATCCACATCGTTTTGCTTCTTTAGGGCCTTCGAACCATTGATCCCATGTTGCATTCACTGGCCCTGTAGTTCTGCAAGTAGTCAGTCAAAACCTTTCAAATCAGACCAAATCATCTCATAGAAATACAAAGGAAGGAGGTAAAACAAAAGTATAATTACTCGGGAAGAAGAGGATCCGGTTTGCTGTCAACACTGTCTAAGAACCTGCAACGATTCGAGCAATGAGTCCAAAATTATAGAAGGATTATTCAAAAACCAGATAATTGGTTATGCAGATGTTCTTACTCTTTGCAAGATGCTGATGCATTGTCCATCTTCTCAAGCTGCTCCAGCTCTTCCTGAATCCAAATAGAGGAAGAATCATATACTTTGTACCTTTTTAAAGACAGCCAAAGACAAGTATTTGATTTCACAAATGTCCAAACAGCTGCGTGGACAAGAAATTAAACCCCAAGGGACTCAAGATATAACCAAACTAGGATGAAAGATTTTGCCTTTAATGTATTTTCATGAGTGATCCACTTTTTCACACTGGTTTAGTCAGAGAGGCTTAAAAACATTTAGCATCACAAAAACTCTCGGCCGGGAGAGTGTTCCACACTACATTTCCTAAAGTGAGATTACTCATTTCTAAGGCCCTTCTTCCGCGCCGAGCTTATATGGAGCTCATAATTAAACCATATAAGATTTGAAGGTATGTAACAAAGTCACCTTTCTCCACATCACATGAACAAATGGTACAAAGTTTTGCTTAAACCCTTACATAAGCAATGGTACAATTTCTTTTGGAATCAAAAAGATCCAAATTTGTAAAACTTCTCAAGAAAGAAGCAACCGTAAAGATTGAAGACCCTACTACTACTAACTCATGGAAGCTTTCTGTAGAGAAGACTTATGGTTTTGTATTGCAAACTTCTGTAGGTTTTCGCCGTTGGAGTAATCGGAGAGTTCATCATCGGGAGAAAGCAGTGAAAATAAGAAAGAACACGAGGTTTGTAATAAGAAAGAACACGAGGTTTGCTAAAAAATAACAAAGCAAATCATTTCACCTATGTTTCCACGAGGTTTGTAACCTCCTTTTGTTTGTGTCCATTTCCCATATGGATTGATTGATCGTGACTATATACATTTTTTAACTCTCTCCTTATGGGTGGTAAATAAGAGTAAATATAAGAGATTTTTAATACTATAAAATCTTATATTTATCCAAACCATTTTTGGGTTTCTAAATGGAGAATCTATATTACACATATTTAGTGGGTAAATATAACA